ATTCCTCTAACCTGTTTACAGATATGCCCAGTGAGAGACCTTGCACAGTTATGCACACAATGAATTCCAGCACTCATCCGTCCTTAGAGCTAGAAATTATTTCCCAATGCCTAACCTAAATCCAATCTCTCATCTACTTTACTCATACACTTGAGATCTCTTATTTGCTATTTCTCAGAATACTGCAACCCCAAAGCATTTTGGGTGGCCTGCAATATATGTAATAAATCTTGTCTCTGGGACACTGAGTGAAGGATTACTGTTCTTTATGTGCCGAAATGAAAATGCAAAGCTTGACATTTATGTCTGTTTCTGCTGTTATCTGCTGTTTCTGCATGGCTTCTAGCACTGTTACCCAGTCACAGTTATCAGTCGAAAATGTGACTGTGACTACAATAAGGCTCCTTATACCTTCATGCAGCCACATAACTCAAAAGACCAGAACTTCTGTTATTACTGACATAGAGAATACTGTTTGGAAAAAGGCATAGCAGGTATGTCATACAGAAACCTCCAGTATTTCTTACACTGCTGTGATCCTATTTCAAGGTTCGTGTAATTTCTGCCTGTATCTCTTCTATTATGTTTTGTTTGACACTTACCTTCGAGGGTATGTGAAGTAGCAAGCGTTCCCTGTCACCTCTTATTAGCAGGAGAAAGCCACCTTTTATGATGGTTCATAGGTACAATCTTAATGTAAATAATAGTAATTATATCTGGAAAAACTTACTCCTTAACAAGTTTTTGTGTTCTTAATATAACTAAAATTTGCAATGTTTATCTTGTTTTACATACTTGTATACAAGAAACACTGTAGTTAGGCAATTTGCCATTTGGAAGTGGTAGAGAATGAATTTAACACAAAGCTTTATATTGTGAATTATTAGGAATTCCAGTTGTCACAAAACTGTTATTGCTGTGTCTAACAGCACCTATTCTGCACGTTTGAAACGCTGCCTTGCCCTGAGAGGCACCATGGAGTCATCAACTGCTTAGGAAATTCACAGAACCTGGGAAGATGCCTCTCTGAATCCATTGATCTCCAAAACCCACACAAACAACAGAAGTTTGATAAAGTTAAACATAACATTCAGGTTAATTTTTATTTGTTAATTTAAAGCATTATCATAATAATAATAAAATATAATTAAAAAATATGTAAAACTTTCAAAACCTTTGCTTCTTTGAAGTTCCTAAGTATGAAATGGTGAAACGGAAAAAATATGTATTTGTTAGTATGTTCCAGCTCATCAATGAAATTTCTAGCATAGCCTAGGCCTTTTGCAGTCCTAAACATTGTCACAAAGAAGAAATTCTCTGCAATGCAAAGCAAAAGAAAAAAGAAAATGTCTTGAGATACTCTTTATGCTTCAGCAGCATGGGATTCCAGCTGACATACTCATGGTATTAAAGCGTTCGTGCCTCAAGAAATGCCCTGACTCCCATCAAGTATCTCATTACCACAATTAAACAGGCTTTGTCTTACAGTAGTTAGAATAATTCCAGGACTTGACTTCATTAACCAGTCTGTTTTAGCAAATTTGTGTTTTATGTACATGGAAAAAAACTTTCAGTTGGTAAACCTCTACTCATAGCTGCTAAGTAGCCTATAAACAAACATAGATTCTAAGATGAGACTCTAATAACTGAGTCTAATTTGTCTTAAATTCCTGAAGTCCTGCAGTACATGTCAGATGCCCAGTGGGTGATTCACAGCTTGCTGACTAAAATGAGAGTCCCTGGGTTACTAGAGCTAATAAATGACATTGCATATTTCTGCCATTAAAAGCTGATGAAGTGCTATAAGGTAAGAAGGACAGAATCATCTTTTTTATTCTTTAATACTGATGCACAGGTTTAATGATTTAGCACTGACACCCCTCACATAAGAAGGCACCTTTCATTCCTGAAGACCCTCATGGCTGACTGATCTGATTTGCCATAGATCTGTCACCAACCAGGCCTGGGCTGAGTGACATCACTGTTCTAAGAAAGAAATGGTCTTCAGTGCAAAAAGTGAAAATAGTTTTTTTTTCCCAGGTGAATATATGGGGGAAGGGGAGCACATGGGGACAGAACTTGCTAAATAGTACATAGAAATTAGGAGCTAAGGTCTCAATTTTTCCAAAAATTGTTTGATAGAACTGTTGGAAAAGTGGAAATGGATACCTTGCAGAATGAACTCCAGGCATAGTGAAGCATGAGATGAAATCAGAAAGAGACCAACAGCAGAATTAGACATACACGTTCTTCAGCCATTATACACAATTATTTCTTTTTATAGAAAATAAAGGAGTACTTTTTAAAAGGCACACAAGACATTTGGTTTTTTGTACATTCTGAAAGATAAGGAAGACTAATGATTTCTAGAAATCTTTCTAATGCTGACAAATTTGCAAAAAAATTTGCAAGACTGTCTGATCATATGTACTTTGTAATTTTTGCAAATATGTAAAGAAACCTCATGACCCTTTATTTCTTTATTGCATAGAAGAATATCACCCCAATTCTTTTAAGAAAGACTATCTTCTCATTAATGTTGGTGTTGCTGAATTTTTTTTATGAAGATGCAGATGAGAACTGTACTGCTAGATATATCAAGATATTTATATGATTAGATTGTAGACTGCAGTCTCATAATTTGTTTCTTTCATCTGCTACCATCTTTTTATCACCTTAAGGAAAGACTCCCTGAATTAAAAAGTTTTGTTAATTTCTTCTTTTGTTGAGACTCAGAATAGTAGCTGCTATTGTATCTCACATCCAGCTATTGGAGTTCTTGTGCATTTTATTGTAATAAAGGGTACATCACAAAGAAATATTCCAGTTGTAAGAAACAAGAGTTATGCAGTAGATGTGCTCTCTCTGAAAGAATCAAAGACACAGCTGTATCAGTCTACAAGTTGTCTTTCCATTAGATAGAAAAGCAAAAGCTCAGATGTTTTTTACATGACAGTAAAATTTGCCACCAGCGCATCCCTAAGGAATGGAGTTTCCATATGCTTAATATCTTAGACCATAGATTGTCATTAGGATCCCTTTAGGCTTTAAAATAATACAACAGTGAAATGAGAACTCTTTCATGTTAAGACAATTTTGATGATGAAAGCTAATAACAAAGAGCTCACTTCTTCCCATAGAGGGTAGAATTATTCTCCAAAATCTCAACAACAACTCTTCCCACTTGGCATAGAGATGGAAGCTCTGTTGTTGCTATTGCTGTAAACATATTGTTTATGGACTATTTATAGATGAAGCAGCCTTGTGGGTGTGCTGCCTATTTCAGCTGGAAGTAGCTCAATATATCTGGCTGACTTGGATGTGTGATTGAACCACATGAACCCACTGGCTCATCTGAATTTGATAAACTAAAAGCTGAAGCACGGAAAATCCAGAAAAGGCCAGGAGGACAACATGCAGCTTTCAAATGCCAATCCTTCCATGTGTGTCCCTCAGAGCATGACTGACAGAGAGGGTGCTTTGCCCCCTCCTTCACAGCCTTTTCTCCACTGCGCTTCCTACCTCTTCCACGATGTTCATCCACCCATGAGCTTCCTTGACTCTCCTCACTAAAGGCATTACTAACTACATCCATCAACTTCACTCTTTTCAGCACAGGAGGCTCTCTACCATGATTCCTTACTATTTTGCAGTCCTAAATTTGTCTAAGCAATGCTCTCACACTGCAGATTCAATCCTGCTTTCCAAGCACATTCTTGCTATACTTGACTGCTCTTCAGCTGCTTCTGTTCCTCTTTATGTATTTCAAGAGCCAACAAAAGAGCTGGTTGAGACCTCCTGGGGTGATTAACACAGACACTACAATTATTCCAAGCTTAGGTACAAATTGACATGGATGGTCCCCACCCGAGGTCAGAGATAAACTGATCATCTGGAAGTGTCTGCCACTGAAACAATTTCTTGTCATCTGGAAAGGCAATCTCAGCATCTTGTTGCTCAAAAAGTTGCAAATGTCACTGAGAAAAGGAAATGAGCTTGCTGCATTGCATTTTTCTACTGTTACCCCTTACAAGATTTTATAGACCTACAGCTTGTATTATGCCAAATCAATATTTTTCTTGTGAATCACAGAACAAATGCACTAAATCATTAGTGATTTTTAAAATAAGCTTAATTCCATTTATTATATCAGTACTTGTATCTTGCACTACTGACAATTTCATAAGACAATTCACTAGAACAGAATGTTGGCTGTAAGAGGAAAGGATTTTATCTTACAGAGCTACTGCCAAAGGACTTAGAACAGCAGCAAATATGTTGACAGTATCCTACTTCCCAACAAAGCTTTAAAGAATGCCATTTAACTGAGGGATAGTTTCCTGTGATATAGTGGAGTTATATGCAACTTTCAGGGCTTAATCCATCAGTACAGATTCTGGACAATTACTCAGGCGTTGTGGACTAAGTCTTTCTGTAAATAATGTTCAAGTAAATATGAAATAGTTCCTCTCTCGTCACTGTTGGAAACCTAACAGTAGCCACAAGCAAGGGCAGTTTTTCTTTTCCATGGAGTAAACAACAGAAAAAGTTATGATAACTGTGGTATTAGACATTTCTAAATGCTTGGTGGGTATATGTGTGAAATACTTTCCACTGTGGTATCATGAAAAGACATTACTAAAGGCATACATAACTGTGAATTTTGTAATTCCCATTAAGCTATGAGGGAATTACTTAATTTTGCTTGAAAATACAGACCTTGGTGATATGTCACAGCCTCAGCTCTAGTGTTGACCCTGGATAAAGAGAAGAGAGCAAAGTCTAGGTTTGGAAGAGCTGAGTAACACCAAGGGGAACCGCACCTTATGTGTTCTGAAAGACAGGCATGAGCAGACAGGGAGGACTTTGCTCCTCTCAGCAGAGGTCCATGCACCTCGTGCAGAAAGCAGTCCCTTTACTCCTGCACACAGCCCCACTGTAGCCAGCCAGACCTCGAAAGCCACAGTTGGATTTTTAATCTACGTTAATTCCAACTTTCCAAAGGTCTCCTCTAGCTCACTACTGCGCCAAGCAATTTCCTTTGCTGCTGCTTCTCCGCAGGGTTGCCTGGATACTCGTCTCCTTGAGGATATTGCTGATTAGAGTGCGGCTGCAATTTGGTGTTTTGAAGACTCTGATCTGTCATCCAGATACAGAAATCCTTAGCAAAAAACAGTGGTCTGTCAAAAACCGGCTTTAGCCAAGTTACTTACACACAGTTATCCACAATAAAACTCATCACAGATTTTTCTCTTATAAACATGCTACATGCAAAATGAAGGTTAGTGACTTCGTGTTATTGTGCAGTGATTTCATGCTATTGTGCAAAGCAACACATTTCTGGGCACAATCCAGTCCTATATTATGTCTTGCTCTTCTTTAATATACAACTTGATGGATGCTTCCAGAAGCAGGTACAAACCTTTCTCAACGTGAGAACATCACAGTTTAATCAGTATGTTGTGACCCTGTTTTTTCAGGGCTATCACAAGTCCCACTTTTGATATAATGTTTGGAAAGAAGCCACAATAAATACAACAAATCCTAGCCAGATAAGAGAGGCACTGGGTTTGAGTCTGTCTACATGCAGAGTTCAGAAATATCACAATTTCCTTCTTGCTGGTCAGTGTTTATTGGCTGCTTTGCTCTTTTCAAGAATTACAACATATTTAGCAGTAAAAATGACCAGAATTGGAATCAATACACTAATAGAGAGTATGCTATGAATGTATCTAAACCCTGCAGGAACTTATCATCATGTAAATAAAGTTTCCAAGCAATCTAGGTGGAACATGATAAACGCTGGATTTAAATTTTGCAGGAAAGAGTTTTCCCCAACATAAAGAAGTTTCCTTCATGCTGGGGAAGGAGGCTGGGGGAGGAGGGTATTTAGAAAAGGAAACCCAAGATGATCTATGAAGATCAGACATTTTGCCAAAGAAATTACTGTAGAGTTTATTTCTCAATTTTATGTTTAATTGAAATTTTTATCTCTTATCTCTTAAGTCTTTCCTGATAAAAAATTAGGCAAAATAATTAAATTATTGAGAAAATATTTGGTCTCCAGAAACAGAAATAAAAATGGACTTAATAAGCATTTCAAGTCAATTTAGTTACAGCTTGATGCAAAGCACTTAGATTTTTGTAAACCAGTTGGTTATCTAAATAGTGCACTTTTGGGTGAGTTTTATTTTCTTTGGAATTAGAAGAATATTAAAGCCATTGCCAGCAACAGTTAAAATTGTTTGAAGTCTTTAATGGATTTATTTTAAATTATCCATGGCTTTTCAAAAGCTTTTGAATTTTCTTCCAGCACTCATTCAGCCATTTCTGAATTACAGCAAGGCAAATAAAAAGTCCTTCCCATTTTAATAAATTTTAAGGTATCTTCCTTGCTTCTAGGTAATTCAAAAATGCAGCATTGTTGCAAATCAGAGCTTCCAAGGCTATTAGTTTTCTGATCTTATTCAGCAATAGTTAAAGTATGTGCATTGTTTTAGCACATTACTGAATGAAGAGAGATTTGAGGACACAGAAAGGATTTTGTTCAACTAAGTTTTAATTTCTTTGTTAGGAACAATGTAGTATATCTATTATTTGCATTAAGAAGCAGTATCAGATTCAGTTTGTCTCTTATTTATTTCCAGTACTGTAACTTTTTCTTTTTTATAGCTATGATCTTTCCTCCCAATTGAAATTAATTAGGCAAGGTAAGAAGTTGTGCTGAAGGCCTTGCCTTGCTTCCAATAGAATAAGTGCATGAATTGGAGACAAGAAGCAGTTACATCCCTGTTGCAAAAGGTACAGCGAAAACTCCTACCTTGTTTGGAAAAAGACATAGATATTGCAGTTTTCCTGTCCTAATCCCCTTTATGCCAAGGTAAGTAGCACCAACTCTTCTCAGGTAGAGCAACAAATAATGGGAATGACTAATGCCATAACAAGTCAAGGCAGCAGAATGAAAGATGTTAGTTGCTGATTTCTTTGTTTGCCTTCAGATAATGTATAATAATCCCTCTATTTCTTTTTCTTTTTAATACTAAATACAATGATATATTTACTATTCTTCCTGATGATGATAAGTGGAAATCTGATGCTGAAAGTCATGCATTGAAATTAGTTGATTCCATCCAGTATAAATACATATACATTTTTCCTTTAGATACTGAACAGTCTTAGCAAGCTGTACTGACAGACAGCAAAATATTGGGAGAATATACCATTTGTAGTTTTCAGGAGAGATGGCACAGCTCTTTTTTTTTTTAATTCCAATTAACTGTATTACTGAGATTAATCTCAGAACATGTTAAGCAAGAAGATGACAAAGCCCTTAAATGAAAATGAAAAAAAGAAACAAATTAATTGCAATACATTGCAGAGTGACCAAACCTCCTATACATATGGAATAGCATTTCTCATTTATAGACATTTAGGAGATTTTGACACAGGTGCTCTAATTTCACAACCCAGAGTATAAAAAAAAGAGGTGCCATGTGGGGGAAAAGAATAGCATAAAGAAGTAAGAGAACAATCTCATTCTTACAGCACTGAGTGATTGGTCTTAGTCAATCTTAGAAAACTAAATATAGAAAGGTTCAAAAAGGATTAAATCTGCAGTAACTGAGGGTGTCTAAAGAGGTTATGAAATGAACACAACGTTTAATTAATTCAATAGATGAGGAACTGCTTAATGGCATAATTACTTGAATTTATTGCAGATATTTCATAATATGTGTGAAATGAATACTTTAACCCTGAAATTACTGAGCTGCATGATTTACTCCTTGCTACTGAATAGATGATTCACTTAATTATTAAAAATTATTATACTCTATTATTATTATTCTGTGATTTTTAAAACATATGTGCCCTGATTTACATCTCTCAAACAAAATCTTCTCATTGATGAAAATAAAGATAAAAACTATTTGCTTTCTAGAAATGCATATAATACTCAGGAGATGCTGCATGGGAGGTTATTATTGTAACTCTAAATTATCCCTCTACACTTATAAAGAAGTGAGAATAACTAAATGATGTACTGCATCTTTTGCCATAAGGTAAGACAATTCAAGTACCATAGAAAACTAAAAAAAAGAACAGCCAAACAAACAAAAAAACCCCCAAACAAATAAAAAAAGCCACTTTCTTAGTTCAACAAAAAAATATGTGGCATAACTGTGTTCCCACAATGTATATTTTACTGTAAATACAGAAACACGCAGGGAGCTACACATCTGATGTGCCACCTGGTTTTGGTTGCCTTCAAATACTGAACATCATAAATATCACTGGCTTACAGTCTCTTTAATGTATAATATGTTACTTTTTCTTCCTCCTAAATGTGTCAGAGGATTATCAAAGTTATTATTGCTACTTCATTTCTGTCTGTATTGTTGTTTCAGTATTAGCTGCAAGTCGCTGGTTCACATCAGGTTCTCTCATTGCTGTTGAGGTTGTCAAAATATCAAAAGATATTTTTCTTTTCCCTGAAGATCTATCATAACCAATAAATTAATCATGCCATCAGAAGGAAGTTTCTTGTTTGACAGTATTTTATGGACTTAATGAACTTTATTTTAGAAGTTTTCCCGGAGCTTTTACACATTTAAACTGATACTAGTTTATGATGCAGTTTCTTTCTCTCAAATTAGATGCATAGACTAAACTGTGAGCTTTGAAGATCTGGAGCTGATCATTGGGTGATTGGATATATGCAGAGAGAAGCAGCTTTCTGAAGGATCAAGGAACTAAAATAAATTAAAGAACACCTGATGTGATAAGTCGGATTTTACCCTGGCTATTTCATCTGTATTAATCAATAAATCTATTCCCTGCTTTCAAAAGGCTTTGGGGAATGATAAAAAAGATATTTACCTAGTTGAACTTTCAAAAGCACCTAAATGTCTAGTACCTTTAAAAATGAATTTAAATATTTTGGTTACATTGAAGAAACATGTACTTTCCATGAACTGAGTGGAAAGGCACATTGACTTGTAAAGGTACCTAAATTGAGCAGTAACCTACATGTACCATCAAAAAGAACAATTTTTAGACAACAACATTCATGGTTTTGCCTTTCTTTATTCAGATAACTTGTCAGTCTTATTGTGATCTATATCAAAGATCTAAATCAATGAGCTTCTGGGGTTTTGGGGAATGGGAGTGTCTCTATGTACTTTACTGATTACAAGCCCAAAAGCTGGATAATGACCCACATTTTTTTTTTTTATGATGTCGGTATTAGGCCAAACTATTATTATAATTAAATCAACATGGATTTGTACATCCAAGAGTGTTTTGACCTTACCTTTGCATCGTATGGCTGATGTTGAGAAATCTTCAGTATATTTCAAGCAGATAGGCAATGGATTTTTGTCATAGAAAGGGAAAAGACCAGGTCACAATGCCACAAAATAAAACTCCTCAGATGCCTATGGTTTTAAGCCATAAATAAGATAACGATTTATTTATTCCAGTATTATTTCTATGCATTAGGAATATACAAACTTTAAAATAATGATAATTGATGAAGTTGTTGAGAGATGTGCGTTTTAATGTGTCAAGAATTGCACTACCAATGTAATAGTGTGGATTTCCTGCTGATAATCATGAGCTTTGAATCAGGCCTTCCAAACTCTCCTATCTGAGAAACTCTAATTTTTAAAAAGACAAGGAAAAGAGACCGAATGATCTCAACTTACAAAGGTGGTTTATGTTGTATGGATCAGATTTCTCATGCACTCAAAGGTACTTTTCTCCCTTCTTACAAAGGAGCCATAATTCAGGTAAAAATGCTCAAAGGATAACTCAGTTTCATATTCTTCCTGTTCACACAGATCCAGTCTTATAATGATCTAAATCAGCAGCAGAAATCTTTTACCCTTTGGTAGTGACAGATTCACAGAGATACCAAAAAAAATACATGCAACAGCAGTAATGACAATTCCTTCTGGAAAATTCCTCTGCATCGGGGAAGTGGTGGTGCATCTGTCTCCTGTTTGGCACAGAGCTCTGATGCAGCATGAACTCTGTCCAACTAAATAGTATTGCTTCTTATCCCTACACAAGGAAGATGCGTTTCAGCACAAAACCTATCACCCTTAAACTTAAAATATTCAATACATTCTGGAGAAAGAAAAATATCTCACTCATCTACTCCACAGTTCTTAGTAGCAACAGCTGATAAGTACTCACCTTCTATAAATAGTATAATTACCAAATAAGTCAAGGATGTTTAAAAAGATTAGTAATAACCTCTTGAATAAAATACTTCATATACTTAGTTTTTAAAACCAGTTCTCAATCCATTATCATCAAGATTAATCAACTAATATTCGGATATGAGGAAACACTGAGGAGTCATAATTGCACAGTGTTAATCAAAGACAGGAAGAGTGATGAGAAAATAAAATAAAAGGAGCATAGTTTTGTCAGATTTTTGCCAGACATTTGTGCATACCAATTTTCTTTTGCATATGTGACTTGACTAAGCATATGATGAATGTTTTCAAATTATAAGTCAACAACAGCAATGTGAATGAATAGTCAATTGCTTAAAATAAATATCAAAAAATTGATTTTGAATGACTTTTCCTTAAAAAAAATGGACAAACATTCTCTCAACTCGGGTTACAGTAATTCTCTGATATTCATTGATTTCAGATCAACGAATATCTTTTTGTTTCTGCAAGAGAAAATCAATTTGTGTATTTAGGAGATGGCAAAGATTTAAATTTTTTTTAAAAACTCTTAAAAACATTTTTTTCCTATGAATTTTGACATAGTTCTGTTATCCCACATGGATTCTGAGTTAAAATAAGATGAACTTTGGAGCCACATACTAAAGTAGAGCATCTGAAAAAATATGCTACATGTTGTCCTTGAAACCTTGACCCAGAAAAGCTAGAATCAAGGAAGGCAGGCTATATTGCTGAGTAAATAAGCCAAATATGACAGCAATTATTCAACATTTCTTAGAGAAATTCAAATCTTGAAAAAGTACAAGTCTCAAATATATTAATCTTCTGGAAAAAAAAAAGAATATATGTCATAAAAAAAGGAATTCCAATACTTCCAACTGTTAATATATTTTGCTCATCTAATTCCAGCACCATTTTTCATATTTTTTTAATATGTATTTCACCATGGCTTCTTTGCAGGAGCCATTCTCATGTCAGCTCCTTTTATGAAGTATTCTGTTTCACTGACCCCCAGTCTCCCGCCTCAGATCAATTGAGAGTATACGAATAACTTAAAATATTGACATTGAACAAAGATATTAAGATGTAGTATCAACATTTTTCCTATAGTTGGTTTCAGTAATTTTCTTCAGAAGAATGTAAATAACCTACCTGAATATAAAATGGCACCTGACTGACATTTTCAAGTTCACAGGAAAATAGATGTTCCTCTGTTATACAGAAAATATGAAATCTAAGATGTACTCTCTAGTACATCACTTTCTAGTAAAATAACTAGAACCACATTAGACCAAACTTGAGATTCCCACCTCAACTAATTGTGAATATACTTTGAGCTTGTAAATATATTCTGTGAGAAGTAGGTTCACTGGGCAGTCTCTAGGCTTTGAATTTTATTAACCAACCTTGGTTACAGCTAAATTCTAGTGTTTTAGCTGACCTAGTCACCTGGATGACCAGATCAGAGACATCAGCCTCCTGTCAGAGTACTAACCCAAATTTCCCTCTGAAAGAAATCGTCAGCAATGAAGATAACATGTGATTGAGTCTTAGTCTGTTGGGGAGTTAAGATGAGGCTGCTGCAAAAACTACAGTATTTGGGAAGATTAGGCATACATATTGCCTGTTCTTGGGTGGGAGTTCTTGCATTCTAAAAGCCAGCTGTTTTGTTGATCTGGCAACTGCAGATGATTATATTCTATAATTATCTTCCAGGTTTCTTGAATGGCAACCAGTAGAGAAGTTTTTTTTTTTCTGTCACTGATTTTTAGTAGTGACCGTTTTCTTTTTCCTTGCCACAGCTCTCTGCTTAACATTTTGCAAAAACAATGCCTAGTTTCTAAATATTCATACCTTATTCCATTCATTACAGACATTCCAAAATAAAACTCTGGAACTGAAGAATGATGTTTCATGGTTTCCATTTCCAAGTTTCTGAGCAGTTCTGTAGCATATTCTTTTGTATGTTAAAAACTAGTCTATCAAAATATAATGCCAATTTAAGCCACAACCATTATTTATATTACTAGTAAAGGAGGGAAAACGTAGTGGTAAATTAATCTTTGTGCAGCAAAGAACTCCTTAAAAAGGTTTTCAGCATGCATAGTAATGAACTATTGCTATCTCTCCTCAACAGACATCTTTAAATAACTATGTCCAAAGTTGTTTAAAATCCTTTTCCTAGAATTTCAGTTTCAGTAATGCAAGGAAGACTGATTCCTCACTTATAACGCTGATCAACACAAGCCTCCTTTTTTATCTTCTGCTTAATATAGGGAACTCATGAATCAGCTATGACTTTTACATGCCTTCCCTCTGACCTTCCCACAGATAATCATAATAACACTGGGCTGCTGAGAATCAATCAGTTTTCATAAAGGCAGCAGCCTTCAGATTAATCTCATATTATTAATTCTGCAAGTTAAAAAGACAAGCAGAAAGACAAGATGGCTCTCAGTGCTATTTACTTCCCTAAAAATATTTCCTGTGGATAATAAACAAACAAATTTCCAATCTGGTGAAGCTGTAAATTTGCAGCCTTCATGAAAATTAATTTAAATGGATGTGACTGTGAGGTTGGGATTGTAAAGATTAGGGAGACTCCTGTAGTTATAATTGCCTGTTCAGTTCATCTGCTGCTCTGTCACTCAAGAGTGGCACAGCTGCATTAACAACTCTAATCATAATCTAATTCTCAGATCAAATTCCCATCTTCAATATATCCTTTAATAAAGCTTCCATACCCCATCTTTTAGCCTTAATTATTGCTTCCTGTCTCCCCTGACAACCAAATTAAAAGGTACACGCAGCAGTTCTATAATAAAAAAATAGCAGAGATACAACAACTGTACTGCAAATTCACACTAACCTTGTGAAGGTTGGATGGTTTGTGATAACTAGATTTTTACTGATAGCATGAGCACTAGAAGATAAGAAATACAATTTTATAATCATGTATTGATTTTTCTTTTTTTCCTGCTAATATGGAAAATTACCTGGGCCACTTTTTAGATTAGCAAAGCGAAAAAAGACGATTTTATAGGAAAACTGTCTAGACCCCAACATGTGAACTGTTTTGCTTCTTAAACCTGGAGTTCTTGATGTGTCAGTTGTTGACAGTAGACATTGTACTAGTTAAAGCTAAATCCCTTTTGCACAAGAACTGAGATGCCAAGTCAGCAAGATACTTAATTAGGCATCTACCTTATGGCATATTATTAATGCCAAGTCAATAAAACTGTTAGCATGTTTAAAGTTCATAAATATCAATATACTTTTTGAGCAGAACCCAAACATTCAGTGCCTTGTCCATGTAGGATTCTGTTTTGTCTGTTCTGTGCAAATGAGGATTTCAATTAGAGAGTTAAACTGTTGTCTATGTAAATATAACAAGATGGCACATCCTCACTTCTGAGCTAGAAATTTATTTCTCTGAAACTTTAAAAATAGAGTAATACAATCATGGTTGAATTGGGAAAATGATTAAAAATTTAACATGACTGGACAAGTATGGACAACAAAAGAGAAAACAATAGTCAGCATCAGTAAGAGAGAAAAATTTTAAGCAATTGTCAAAATATTTCAGCTAAGGTAGGCAGGTTTTGAATAAAAGAGCACACTATGGTGTTGAGATGATTTAAAAATGTAGCCCTGGATTTCAAGGGCAGTAAGCAAAGTCTGTCAGGAAGTGGTTTCATAGATAAGAGAGGTCTGCAAGAATGCCAAAACTTTAAACATGGCAGATTTTAATTATCCTGATACCAGTATTGATTTGGATAAGAACTGTTCCAGGGCTAAGGAGACAAATGTGTTTGAGAAAGTAGCGAAGGATTTATTTTCCAAGCAATGTGCTGACCAGTTTTAGTGTCTTGGGGCTATCTTGTGAGTGAATGGGTCTTGAATAAACCAGGACATTGGGGACAATTTAGTGCAGGCAATGAATCTGAAACAGAAAATTCAGCAGAATGAAAAGGGTTTATCATTTAAATGGATACAGACTAAAGAATTCTGGCCCAGAAAAGAGTGTGTTTAGTCATTCTCTTTTAGGACATCTAAAAGTGAGAAACGAAAAATGTTGCATAATATTGTAGGTCAGTCCTGAAAATGAATAGACTTCTCCTAGATTTCTGTTGTCACATACCAAGCTTAAACAAGTGATCTGAAACACTCCAACATTTAAAATTCCATTTGTGCTGCATCAAACATTTCCGCTGGTCTTGGTGACTCCCACCAGTTTTGCAACTGGTGAATGTTTTAACTTCTCACTCATCAACAAAAGAAATTCCCCTTTTCCCCTTGACTTCATTTTTTGAGACTTGAAGTATGACAAAGGTGAAGAACACAATCCAGTTATGCTTTCCTTAAAGAAGAAAACACATGAGCCGGGTGTAGGTACATAATTTTTAATCATTAAACTGAAGTAAGGAGAAATATTTCAGTTGCTAATTTCTTTTGTAACTGGTGGTTTTAGGATTACCTAGGTCTTGCCAGACCTGAAGCTGTCGTGTTGTACCAGGGTCAGCATTTGTCAAATTGTTATATAAATCTTTCTAAAATCATAAGCTCTCTATTATTTGATGGCAGTAATTATCACACAGCTTCTTCCATCCTTGTAATGTATTTATCTTTCCAAGAGTCTGTGGATGTAGGAATGTGTTATTCTTCCCACCTTTTGTTTTGAAAACCAAAACAAACAAAAAAAGAAGATGTGATTCATCTCTATCTATAAAGTGAAAACATAGTTTAAGAGGGGTGTATAAACTCTCTTAATGGTCAATGGAGAGAGATCAGTTGCCTTTAGAGGGGAATTCCTGTTATGACACGATAGCACTTGAGGTGAATCATGGGAAAGAGTTCCAGAGTCCTCAGTATGGGAACACTTCCTTATTTGTTGGATCCAAAGGAAGCTGAACATAGAGGAAATGATCCAGAGGTAAGCAGTAGAAACCTGTGCAACCCACTGTGACCCCATCAGTGACGGCTACACTAGTTTCATCCCAGGAGTAAGAGCTATGCTGCCCCTTCTCACTGCTTAGAAACGTAAATCAGGGTGAGATGGGAAAGGGGGAAAAGGGACATTTGTGAACACTGTAGAATTACACTTTATAATTTTTCCTGTAAAAGCAAATTGCAAACTTTTTGTCCCTAATATGATTCATCTGGGACTCTGTGTATTCATAAAAAGAAAAAGCAGAATTCACTGAAGAAGACCAATGTCAAAACAGTAAGGGGACTTTCTCTGGGCTCAGTATCAGGTTTTGCCCTTTGCCAATCAGAGCTGGAATTTAAAAAAAAAATCCCTATCTGAGAGATTGATTACCTTATGAAAAAATATTGGCTATTCTGACGTGAAAGGCTAAACCTCATTTTTCTTTTTTTAAATAAATGCTTTGACTCTGAGAAATACTTAGAGCTGAAACTTTCTTTGAAATCAGCTTTACATTTTGCTGAAACAGCATTTTTTAAAGAAAAATATAAATGTCTGAATGACTCTTTAAATGCTCTGCTCTATAAATTTGATATTAAAGCTACACTTATAGCTACAGGAACTATTGGATGCTTCAAAAACTTAGGGCAAAGCAGTATGGTTCAGTATCCAAAATGCAAAAGGCTTTTCTGTGCTACCTACACTTCTTGTGTTAGCAAATTCAGAGTACAAATTCTGTGAGAAAAGTCTTTTATCAAGGTTTCTGATACTCATTGTTTTGTTGGCTTTCTTTCTTGCTTTCTTTTTTTTCTTCTTTTTCCTTGGGAGTTGGGAATGGTACTAGAATACATTTATTCATAACAGTATCATGGTTTGGCTCTGTTATACCAGAACTAAAAGCTGTGGAGTTTTTATCTTTTCACCTCTCCAACCTCACAATCTTCCCACCCTACGAAAACATGGAAGTACTTCTATTCTATTCTTATAACTATTAGGACAGATGGACATCCTTCCTGGCTTTCGATCCTTCCTGATCTTTCTCAGTCTTCACCTAAAATTGCAAAAGGAATGTCCCTGTTACTCATGGCAGATGATGTCACACCAGTAGTGTATGTTTTCAGCTATACAAATACAGATAGGTAAGCACTATGTAAAATTGCAAATCTAAATAATCAATGAATTTATATTTTATCGGTCATCCCCAAGGGTTATTGACCTAAAAAAAGAGGGAAGCAATTTAGTCCTGTGTATTTTATTTTGGCGAACTCTCCTTACCTATGTGTCTATCCACAAAGACATACAAACAAAGAAAACAAAAGTTTATTCTTTTTCCACTATGTATGCTTTAAGAAGGTTTTGGAATTAATAATGAAAAGATACCTATAGAGAGCTTTGGCACTTCTGAGCATTTCTGCATGAACTTCTTTTTAGGCCTAGAGCATCTTACTGGTAGAAACTATTGGTATGCATATGTTCCATTCAGGCAAGGTATGTTATGGTAGATGAGAGGAGGGGGAGAATCCTTCAGGTCTGGCTTCAGTCCATACCTGGAAGGTGTATGCCCTTCCACCCTGCCCCCCACCACGTGGCCTGAGACCCCACAAAGGAGCACTCACCAGACCACCAGGGGACGGACGGACAAAAGAGGAAGTTTATTGTGGGATAGGGGCTTATATAGCTCTTGGGAGGGTCAAAGGGGACCAAGCACAGGTGAGGGGTCTTGCAATCAGGTAGGGAGTTTACAGCCAATAAGGAAGGGGTTAACAAAGGACCAATGAGAGCACCTTGGGACATCTTCCCAGGACATTCCTGCCTGAGAGATAAGGAGTCACACAGAAGGTATCGGGGAAAAGCAGTGACTCTGCAAAGAGCCATCTTAACACGAGTTTAAACAACATTAAAAACTTCTGATTCACCAGTCCATCTTTGGTAGGACTTTTTCCATACATCCATTGCTACAGGTATGGGGCAATGAAACAACCCTTCAGACTACATTCAGCACAGTCTACATTCTTTGCCAGATCTAGTGCCCTCTTTGTACCTTGAAGACTTCATATTATAAAAGCTACATACACATTCCCAAGCCTGTAACTCCTTGTCTTATTTTGAACTTAACATTTCCTTATTAGCAATGATATCTCTGAGTATTTAATTACCCTGCTCTTTGCATTTTTATGTTACATATAAAATGAGGCATAGTTCAGAGCCACAGATTAAAGACAAGTTTATTTTTTTGCCTGCTATCTTCTGGATCTATAAAACTGGTATTCTTGGTTGCACATTTGCTCATTTTCAGGTGAGTGGAAGGAGTGTTCCTACACAAACTACCTTAGAGCTTAGCTACCCTCTTGACACGCTACAGGTATCAACTCTGTGTTCCTCAGATTTAAAAGATCTGTGTAAAGTTCAAAGCTTTCTGAAGTATTACCCAAATCATTGGAGATGAAACTGGTGTTTCTGAGACAGAGAAAAGCCCACCTTTTCCAAATTTCTGTGCCTCCATGGATGTGGGTGCTTGATAAGCTCCTGCTGGGAATCCTCACCCATCTGGCCAAGCTGGGACCTCTGCTACAGGACTTGTGTTGGAGCCCAGGAAAGGTCATGCCCAGTGACTGGTCACAGGAGGGACATAGCAAACACTGGCTGAAGTGTTGAACCAGGGACTGTGCCTGAGCCCATATGTTTAAGTAAGGCGGGAGACTTCATCCACTCAATGGGCAGATTCAAATTTTGAATTTCTCAATGCATTGAGAAAAGAGTCACATTGTTGAAAAAAAAAAAGAAAAAAAATCATGGTGTGAAATCAAGAATTCAAGATCTGTAAGATTTAAAGCATCGCATAAGGCAGCTTTAAATGACCCAAGTAACAACAATACCACAATTATATGTAGGAAAATATTTTTCAGCCATTTCCCAGCAGAGTCCCATTGGGAATTTTGCCTTGACATTCATATACATTTTAAGATTTTTTTTTTTTATTTTTGACCTTTTATTTC